GAAGACCCACACTTCCTGTTTTAGATGTTACTCTGAACATAATTGAATTGGTGAATTCAATAAGGGCCTAAATCCACACATTTAATGCATGGAGTTGGGCACTTATTGAATTCACCGATTCAGTCGATAAATCAGAGTAGTTTATAACACAGGGAATCACCTCACCTGGTTTTTTTAGGAGAACTAAAGAGAACTGAAACCAGTGCAGCCAGAGGTTGTCCAGTACCTGGGTTGGGCTATTCCTGTAGAACCATTACCACCACACTCCTGAAAATGATGTGATACTATAGCTACATGACACAGCTTTTGCAGCTACCTCTGAGTTACAAAAAGGGAATATTTTTAATACTGTGAAAAAAAAATTAAAATTAAAAATTAAAAAAAAAAAAACATGGCAACAAGTGTGTTGCAGGTCTGTCAGGATTAGAGCATCAGCAATTGTCTAATGTAATCGTAATGACAAGACCTGGAGGAGGGTGACAGCATGGGATGTTACGTGTTATTTTTTACACATCTGTCGGCATAACGCAGGGGAAAGAGGCGACTCATTTTGTGGCCAATTCCATGGCAACGGTCTAAAGCAGTAATGACCAGCCCTGCTCCAGCAGATACACCATCCTGTAGGTTTTCACCCCAATCCTAATCTGGAATTAGATTCAACCAATTAGCAGCTCAACAAGAACCTCTGCCTGTTGAATGAGCTGAGCTTTGTTACGGTTGGAGTGAAAATCTACCGAATGGAAGACCTCCAGGAGCAAGGTCAGTTACCGCTGCTGGTCTAAAGTAAGACCTGTCAAGTAAGTACGGTGCAGCTCTGTGGTGTCTTTACGATCAGAGGTTGGTAAATCCAGATTCAGTGAATAAAAGTCCTCTCTAGCGTTTAGTTCCAGCCATCTGCATTTGTAAATTGGCCCAATTTTTCATCCAGCTGGTGAACATCAAGACACCAGGCTGAATACAGGAGTGGAGGGAAAACATGTCAGGATTTTTACCTCCTGACACCTGGATTCTTCACCTCGGTCCAGGATAAAGACCTTTACTGCACTCTGCTGTTAAGTCCATGGTTCTCCAACATTACTGAATCCATTTCAGGATTTCACCAGTCCATTATCTGACTGGCTTATTTCTTGTCAGGGTTTTGGGCAGAGCTGGAACCAATCCCAGCAGCCAATGAGCGAGAGACAGTGACACATCCTGTGTAGTTCGCCAGTTTATCGTGGGGCACACACACGCTATTCACACACACACTCACACACCCGCGGGCAATTTCGAATCTCTAATTAGCCTGGCTCGCGTGTCTTTGGACTGTGGGAGGAAACCGGAGTTACCAGAGGAGACCCACACAAACAAAGGGACAACATTCCAACTTCGCACAGCAAGGCCTCAGACCAGATTCAAATCCACAGACCTCTCCCCTGTAAGGTGACAGTGCTGCCCAATACGCCACCATGCCGACCAAATCAATTCAACAGCTCAATAATGACTAAATCCATCATTTATATGAGCACCAGTTATAGCCACAGGCGCCCAGTGTACCCTGAAGACTTTACTCAAGCACTGAAGTTAGACCAGTGTTGGGTGCAGAGCTGTTTAAAGGGAAAGTTCGCCCAAAAATGAAAATTCACTCATCATCTACTCACCCCAAGGCTAATCGAAGGGTTCGTGAATTTCTTTCGTCCTCAAAACACTTATGGAGTTACAAAGAAAAACAGCATTGAAGACAAATCCAAATCAACTGAAGTCAATGGAGGCCACTCTTTCAGGCATAAAAAAACAATATTTAAAAAGCACAAAATGCCTCCATTCTGCTCGTGCAGCGTAATCCAAGTGTCTGTAAGCCCCGACATTCACCATGTTTTTAGCCTGAATGTCCAATGTAGCCACTTAGCTAGGAGCCCTGTTTATCTTCACGGAAGAAGTTCAAGATTCAAGACCTTTAGCTACGGTGGCCAACGAGGGCAAAATGCTGCAACGGCCCTAAACATCTCCCATTGGAGAAACACGCTGCAGCTTCAAATGTTAGTATTCACTGATGAACAGCGTATTTTTATGGTCGGCCAACGTAGCGAGGTCAACTTCTTCCGCTAAAATAAACAGGGCTCCTAGCTAAGTGGCTACACTGGACATTTGGGCTAAAAACATGGTGAAAAGACGTCTTTACGAGTCAAATTTTAATGTTGGGGCTTACGGAGGCTTGGATTACGCTGCATGAGCAGTATGGAGGCATTTTGTGGTTTTTAAATATTGTTTTTTACGCTTGAAAGAGTGGCCTCCATTGACTTCAGTTGATTTGGATTTGTCTTCAATGCTGTTTGTCTTTGTAACTCCAAAAGTGTTTCGAGGATGAAAGAAATTCACGGACCCTTCGATTACCCTTGGGGTGAGTAGCTGATGAGTGAATTTTCATTTTTGGGTGAACTTTCCCTTTAAGGCAGTGGTAACTAACGCTGTTCCTGGAGATCAACCATCCTGTAGATTTTCAATCCAGCCATAACGAGGCAGATCTCATTCAACAGCTGGAGCAGGGCTGCCCAACCCTGTTCCTGGAGATCGACTGTCCTGTAAGTTTCACTCCAACCCTAACAAAGCACACCTCATTCAACAGGCGGAGTTCTAGTTGAGCTGCTAATTGGTCAAATCTACAGCCAAATAAGGATTGGAGTGAAAACCTAATGGTAGACCTCAACAAACAGGGCTGGGTGAAGGAAAGTCACTTATTTTGAGCAGAAACGAGAACAGGAACTGTGTTCCCGGACAGGAGTTGGTCCGTCCCTGGTTGGGTTTGGAGTTGGTAGAGTCCAGGCATTCCTGAGCTGGCCCGGTACCTTTGGGTCGAGCTCCGCTGTGTGCTGGATAAGCACACACTCCTGCAGACTGGAGCTCATACGCGTGCCACACACTCCCCCATCAGAGCCAGCCACTCGTTAAATTGACAATGTGGCAGAACTCAGGCGCTGGACAATTACACACATGCTGGCAGCACAAGCGCATGGAGCTGAAAGCCACCTCCAGACACAGCACGGCGACAATCACAAACACACCATGTGGGCAGGAGCTCATGCATGTGCACACACACACATACAAACACACACACACACACAAAGACTCACACATCCAAACACACGCACATACACACACACGCACACTTGCATACACATATGCGCACTCACACCCAAACACACACACACACACACACGCATACAAACACAAGCACACATATGCGCACACACACACAGACACACACATCCAAACACATGCACACACGCACACAAACAATTGCAATCAAAATTATTCAAACCCCATTGCAAATTGGGTTTACTTGCAAAATTTACAAACTGTCAGCCGTTTGTGATAAACAGAGTAAACAAGAACATTTTAAATATCTCAACACAACTAATATTACAAGTGGTTTCTCCAATTTTAGCACAAAATGTCACTTTTAATGACTACTGCAGTCTCAAAATTATTCAACCCCCGAATAGAATCCGTCATTAGAGCATATTTGCAAATCAGGTGTTGTTTCAAGCACACCTAAAACAGCTAATCAAGAGCTTAATTAGTTGCATCAGGTTTGCTTGAGATAGAACATATCAAATACTTGCACTCGCTAGGGGTTTGTTGGCAGTGACATTTGATTGCATATTAGAAATATGGCTGTCAAAAGAATTGTCCAAAAACCTAATAGAGGAGATCATTGCCTGGCACAAACAAGGAAAAGGATACATAAAGGTAGCACAGGCACTGAAGTTTCGTAGAGATACAGTTAGATGCATAGTTTATAAGTTCTGAGTTAAAGGAAGAGTGGCTACAGTACCAGGATGTGGCAGAAAGAGGAAGCTATCAATGGCTGTTACCACATTCCTGAGGAGACGGGTGGTCAAAAACCCTCGAGTGACTGCAGGAGACCCGCAGCAAGGCTTGGAGGCAGGAGGCACAGAGGTTTCAGTTTGCACAGTAGGGCGCATACTAAACATTGAAGGTCTCCAAGACATACACCACAACTGATCCAAAAGCACAAGCTCCAATATGCTCAAAACCATATAAATTAGCCACAGAAGTTTGGGGATATTGTTCTGTGGAGTGATGAAACAAAACTGGAATATTATGGGCTTATAAATCAGTGGTATGCCTGCAGGAGGAATAAAGAAGCATATGCTGAAAAGTATACCCTGCATACAGTGAAGAACTGTGGGAGCTTTTTGACGCTCTGCGGCTGCATTGCTTCCTCTGGCACTGGAAACCTGCAAAGTGTGGAGGGCAAGATGGATTCAGTCAAGTACCAGGATATCCAAGGAGAAAATGTCATGCCGTCTGTAGGGAAGCTGACACTTGGGCATTATTGGACCGTCCAACAGGACAATGATCCTAAGCATACCTCAACATCTACCAAGGCTTGGTTCCAGAAGAAGTCTGGGAAGATTCTAGAGTGCCCATCACAGTCGCCTCACTTGAACCCCATAAAAAATCTCTGCTGGGATTTGAAGAACGCAGTTGCAGCATGCAAACCCTAGAATATTAGTGAACTGGAGGCCATTGTCCATGAGGACTGGGCTAAGATTCCTTGGGAATGCCGCCAAAAGCTGACATCTGCCTATGCATCATATTTCCAGCAGGTCATTGCAGCAAAAGGGTTTTCTACTAAGTATTAAAGATGCTTGTCATGAAGGGGTTGAATAATTTTGAGCCTGCAGTAGTCATTAAAAGTGGCATTTTATGTTGAATTTGGAGAAGCCACTTGTAATATTTGTTGTGTTGAGCCATTTAAATTGTTCTTGTTTCATTTGTTCATTGCAAACTGCTGAAAGTTTGTAAATTTTGCCAGTAAACCTAATTTGCAATAAGGGTTGAATAATTTTGATTGCAACTGTACATATACGCTCACACATAAACACAAGCACACACACGTACACACTAACATGCATATGCATATATACACACATATACACTTACCCGCACACATACAGACACCTGTAACACACACATTCACAAGCATTTACGGTTGATATGGTGGTGCAGTGGTTAGCACTCTTGCCTCACAATAAGGAGGTCCTGGGTTTGAGGCCCGATTGGCCAGCGTGGAGTTTGCATGTTCGTCCCATGTTCACATGGGTCTCCACCGGGTGCTCCAGTCACCCTCGCCCTGAGGGACATGTTCTATAGGAACAGTCCTGCTTATCTCCATGCCTGAGGCTCTGGCTTTACAACTGGAGTTGGGCCCCAGGAGCTGTGCTGTAGCTGCCCACTGCTCCTATAGAATTAGGACGGGTCAAATACAGAGGATGAGTTTCCCCACTGGATTCAATAAGTTACATCTATCTATCAATCTATCTCTCCTGTGATCTGGAAAAACCTACTACATTTGTCACTTTGGGAGAAACTGAGTTTGAACCTCATTTGCAGTAATTAAGAGTGGCGAGAATCTTAAAACGCTAGCTATTAGTGTTATTTGAACTGTCAAAATCAAGTTTTTATTATTTTTTTCAGTTGGGAAAAGTCCAAAATCTAAAAGGTTTTTGTTCAGTTGCGAGAATACTTGCCACTGATAAATTCACTAGGTTTTTCCAGATCACAGGAGATTTATCTATCGATCTATTGATATATCTGTCTGTCTGTCTAAAAATTGCACAGTATCCACTCATTCACAAACATCCATAGACACACTGCCACACGTGCACATGTACACATCAATACACAAATACACACATGTATGTAAGCACACACACGCCCTCACGCATTATATACCATATAAACATGCACAGCAGGAAGGAAGTCATATGAAACACACACATACGTCTAAATGAGAGAGTGCACTGGAGCGCAGTACGGCATGAGGAGAGGCTGTGATATCCCAGGAGAGTCCTGTGCTAATGGACCGTAAACACACTCCAGAGGAAGGTGCATGAGGAACTGAACACTTACACACACACACACACACACACACACACACACACACACACAAGGATGCAAAACTCGAAACCCAAACATACACATACACACACACACACACATATACATGCACAAGGACCCAAACTCAGACACACACAAACACATATCTACACTCACATTCATGCACACGGATACAAACTCAGACACACACACACACACACACACACACACACACCTACAGGCACAGGGATGGAAACTCAGATACACACACAAACACACACACACATATACACATTACTACATAACTGCACTCACACATGCAAGCAAGCTCACACACGTGCATGCACACGTGCGCGCAAACACACACACACACACACACACACCTGCACACATATATATCCACAAGCAAGCTCACACACGTGCATGCACATGCGCGCACACACACACACACACACACACACACACACACACACACACACGCCTGCACACACATATATCCACAAGGATACAAACTCAGACACACATACATGCTTACATGCATGCACCCTCACTTGCACACAGGCTAACACTCATGCACCCACACACACACACACACACACACACACACATTACACCTGAAAAATACTTGATCACTTCTCTCATTTTTTGTTCAGAGTTTTAGAGAAATATAAGCAGGTTTAATTTGTATGAATCACCTCTCAGGCACAATGAGAATAGAGCAGAGTCAAAGGAATCAGTACATTTCGAATAGTGACCTAAATTTCGGAGTTAAATAAAAATGTGTACTTGGCAAAATAAACAGGTAGACTAATTATTTCCATTTTCTAACAAAGGATGTAAAATCGACCTAGATTGGGGCAAATTGGACCAAAAAATCAAGATGACGCAAACCGCAAGAGCAGGGTATCCTTGGGAATTTCGATGTTAACCTTCAAACCGTCTGACTATCATGTTAGAAACAATGGTTTGAATCTGCTTAGCAGTTACTGCGGCAAAGGGTGGAAACTATGATCAATCTAAGATTTAGTATGTAAAGCATGCTAGACTGTAAAACAAAAAACATTTAAATTTCATTGGTTCGTGTCTGGCTGCTTGAAAATAGTAGGTGTCCGAATACTTTTATTCAACAGCGTTTACACATGCATACAAACACATACTAGCATGCAGACACACAAACACTCATATGCATATGGCCACAGACTCAAACATACACACAAACAAGCATATATTTGCAGTTGCACACTCGCATGCTGACATACACAAACACAGACAAACAGACTCAAACACACAGATTCACACACGCACTGTATGCACATGGATATAAACTCTAAAACATGGACACACACTCCCAAGTGCACACACATGCACACATACTCACACATGCAAACACATATGAGTGCGCTCACACACACTCTCTCTCGCTCTCTCTCTCTCTAACACTACTTAGAGGAGTTAAATAACCCCCATACTCAAACCCTCTTTACTGGATGTAAAGTTCATACATTATTCACATTTCCTTAATGCAGTGATCATCAAATCACAGTCCTCGAGGACAGAGAACCACTGCTTTTTCACCTTCCCTTTACCTGAGACTCAGGTGTATAGCCAGTGCAGCCAATCAGCAGCTCTAATAGTTAATCAAAAGGCAGAATTGGAAACCAGGGTTTGATTAGGATTCGAGAGCCAGACTTGATGATACCTTACAGGACATTGGTGCGCTCCCATGTGGCCCACATGCACAGAATGACCAGCAGGGGGCACTAGACAGAAATGAACACGTCCCCTCATCGACCCTATGTCTCAATCAAGGCCTAGCCATGCTGAGGCCGAGAAGCACACCCATCAGCCGTGGCATGGTGCCTTCTCTGACTGCGCTGAGCAGCAGCAAAACTTTGCAAAGACAACACGCAAAATGGTTGGTATCACTCTGGAATGGCATGTGGCCTATAGTGACTTAGACCATTTTTACTGGGACTGAGGTGGTTAGGGATTCAAGACCTAGTCTGACCTCAATAAAAGCAGTTTGGCTGGGCCCTTGAGTAAGGCCCTTAACCCCACACTATTGCCCCCCTTTTGGCCAAATCAACTGCAAGTCATGAAACCGTCTGCTGAGTAACTGCAATGTAACATCTCTCTACCCTGTACTGCGTAACCAGACTTCACACCTGTCTCTTACACAGGAACTATACGTTTCCTTAGGCAGCTCCTGCAAGTGACACGTTTTCAAACAGCGAGCTCGATCCCCAGGTGTTTTCCGCAAACGAATCAGCGATTTTTACGCACAGTTACCCAAATATTGCATTTGGGCGGATTTAATTAACGCGCTAAATAATAAAAGAAATTCTGCAGGCAGAGCGTCTCATTTTCGCACAGATGTTTTGCGTGCGTTAAAAAAAAAAAAATCAGGAGTCAACTCTCGTGTTAAATAATGAGTCTAATAATCGGGCGGAAATTACAGCACATTATTTTTGGGGGGAGGTAGATGAACTCAAATTAGAGAGAAACACTTCCTTGCGTTAACCCCCGCAGCCTGACGCAGTGGCGCGTTCTCACGAGCTGGCCGCGCTCCACGCCGTTACTCACATTTAGAGTCCGCCTTTCCCACCTTAGGCCTTAAGAAATCAGGCCGCAGGATGTGAGCGCAAATTAATTAAAGGTGCACTGTTCTGCGTCAGGCCATCACACAATCACCATAATCCAGCCCCTTTACACCCCCCCCCCTCGGGCCATCTATGAAACGAAACCATCAGCAATTTAATGTGAAATTTTTACACGTGTTACTAATTGAAGCTTAAAATCAATTCCAGGCTTACGGCTGAAGAGCATTGTATTTGATATGCGGCTCCAATCCAGATTAAGCGTTTCTGCGGAATAGGAATTAAACTAATGTGGCTTGGTTATGAATTCCTGTTATGCCAAAGCAATAACTCTCAGTGACTTATTTTACATACTGGGCGAAACCATATAGGAGCACCATCAGACTGACGACTAACATAATGCAGAACAAAGCACTGTACTAGTTCATATGTGAGTAAAGTAAAATAATGCAATCACTGGACCAATCATATCACCTAAAGTAAAATTTCCCTCATACATTTTAAACACCTCAGTGAAATGAATAGGAGCTACTAATACAACCCCGTAAAATGCTGACATTTTTATAAGCGTATTTCAGCGCGGTGATAATCCAAAACGCTCCAGATAGAATATTCGGTGCCTTTCAATGAATATTTAACATCATGTCTGGAATGAAATCACTTCGGCTGCAGAAAACGGTGCATTCCAAAAAGAGGCTTTCTAGGCGCGAAGAAAAAACAACAAACAATATTTCAGTAAACGACATTTCTAAACCCTACGAATTTGACCACATATTGCCCGTCTTCTGAAAACAATTTTCAGAGTGCATAACCTGAGCTTTGAGTGCACTGGAAGGAAAGCACACACATTTGTTTTCTTCACTCGTAGGGGCCAAAAAATATTTTTGCATCTAATTCTATTTCCATACCCCCAACAACTAAAATAAACCTTAATCTTAACCCCTTCCCAAGCCTTTATCTTAACCCTAACCAAAACCATAACCATAACCTTTAAACTCCCCAAAAAAACCTGATTTCAGCCCAGAGCATAATTCTAATAATAACGTTCATACTAAACCTAGTCCATGCCATGAGCACTATTGTAACTCCAGAACTAAACCTAGCCCTTGGCCCAGAATTAAGCATTCCTGAATGGGCACCCACGAAAATAAATAAACAACTAAATAAATAAAAATGTCCCCAGAGTGCTATTTTTTCAGACTTGACTATACAACCCCAATTCGGAAATAGTTGGGACAAAGTGTAAATTGTGAATAAAGTCAAAATGCAATGACTTTCAAATCACATCAGCCAGTGTTTTATTCACAATAGAACAGAGATAACATAGCAAATGTTGAAACTGAAAAATTTTACAATTATATCCACAAAATGAGCTCATTTCAAATTTGATGGCTGCTACAGGTCTCAAAAAAGTTGGGACAGGGGCCTGTTTATAATGGTGTAGCATCCCCTCTTCTTTTTAACACAAAGTGGAGGCGTCTGGGCATTGAGGAGACAAGTTTCTTGAGTTTAGCCATTGAAATTTGATCCCACTCTTGTTTAATACAGGCTTCCAGCTGCTGGAGAGTTTTGGGTCTCCTTTGATGGACTT